TAATATTGATTGTTTCAAATGAGGTTTGTAAGAGGAAGAAGAGGTTCATTATCAGCAAAAAGGTCAACAGGTATTAGGGCCACCTTTATTCTGTTAGTGACACTGTAACCATCATAGATACAGATCTCTAGCCTTCTCTACTTAATGTGTGACTAGTACAGTGACAAACTATCACAATTTCAGAGAGCTATAGGAAGAATTTGGATGGGAATAGTTGTTTCATAGCCAATTTTCAGCCAGTAGACAATTACCTTGTTTCTTCTATAGTGGAGCAGTTCAGTTACAACTTGTATGTAGTTTGAGGGATTGAAGACAAGGGAAATTTTTATAACAAGCATGACAGTACCATAGTAAGAAGAGCTCCATCAAAACCCAGCATTTTAAAGCCTATGCTCCAGTGTGTATATGAAAAATCATTGCTTATCTGACAAGGGGCCTCCCTCTCTTCCAGAATAGTCTAGGATATGATTTTTTTTTGTTCATTTAAAGCAGCTATCATTGTCTCTGTTGAGAGCAAACCTAGTTGGGCTATTTTTCAGAATCATACAGATTTGACTAAAGGGGAGATAATAGATAGGAGTTATGCTTTAGGCCAGCTATTTTGTGAATTATCTTTGTATACAAAACTGATGGCCAGTGAGCCAGTGAGTTGTACACAGCTTTCAAGGGAAAAAAAGTAACTACTGAAGATACAGGACACTGTAAGAAATGTTAGCATGTATGCCTGCCACAGTACCTGGCATGTACTAAGTACCCAGTATGTGGTTGTTCATGTGAAGAAATGAACGAATGAATTACAGGTCTGAAAAAGAGGTAGCTCTTGATCCCTAAGCTAGCACAGAGTGGATCCAGGACACTACACTTGGGTGGTGACCGGGAGAGGGAAAATACTGGTATATCCTAACAGGCAAACAAAATAGAAATACAGTGACATTTTTAAAAGAACTAAGAACTTCTTATTTAAAGGACTCAAGGAAAAAATATTTAATTAGATAAATATGAGAAGTAGAAAATAATAATAGCTCAGATTTATTCCAAAAATATGTTTTGGACATCCCAGCATTGTGTTGATCTCTGGGAATATGGTGATAACCCTTGATCTACTATCCTGGGGCTTTCGTGTAGTGAGAGACCATGTTGTCGTTGTTGTTTAGTGGCTAAGTCTTGTCTGACTCCTTGCAGCCCCATGGACTGTAGACTGACAGGCTCCTCTGTCCATGGGACTTCCCAGGGAAGAATACTGCAGTGGGTTGCCATTTCATTCTCTGGGGGACCTTCCCAACCCAGGGATCCAACCTGTGTTTCCTGCATTTTGGCAGGAGGATTCTTTACCACTGAGCTATCAGGGAAGCCCCAATGACCTACTCTTAAACACATCCTAGAAACCAAGGTAAAGATACTGAAGGAAGAACTGCAGTTCTGTAAAAGCTCCACAGAGGCTGGAGGGAGATTGGAAGAAGGCTCTTCTGAGAAGTGATGCTTGAGTTTGGATCTGAAGGAAAAGTAGAAGCATTCCAGATGGAGAGTAAAGGCGTGTGCAAAGGCCCTGTTGCAAGAGGAGCCTGTTTGAGCAACTTGAGGGAGGCTGGAATTCTGGAGTGCAGAGATTGAGGGGGAGGTCAGTTAGCATTGCTGTAGCTGTCTGTATATTATTTCTGAAAGTTTGTAATCCCTGAAGAAGACACTGGGTGTTAATTACAAATAACATGAACTTTTAGGTGGGGAGATTGTACAACAGTCGGCATTTGAGAGGGCACCCCCTTCCCATTTTGGAACAAGCAGAACAAAACCTAGAGAATGCTCCAAAGGAACCACAGGGCGAGCTCAACCAAGCTCTTGGGGGGTGTGATGTGATGGAAGTCACATGGTGAAGAAGAGCATGGATTCAGTTCAATTCAGTCACTCAGTTGTGTCTGACTCTTTGCAACCCCATGGACTGCAATGCACCAGGCTTCTCTGTCTATCACCAACTCCCGGAACCTGCTCAAACTCACGTCCATCGAGCCAGTGATGCCATCCAACCATCTCATCCTTTGTCGCCTGCCTTCATCTTGTCCTGCCTTCAATTTTTCCTAGCATCAGGGTCTTTTCCAATGAGTCAGTTCTTCACATCAGGTGGCCAAAGTATTGGCCTCACCAAAACCACAACACTGACCATATCTGGAAAGGGGGAACCAGGAGGAAGGGAAATGTACCAGGGACATGGGCAGTTCAATTCTCTGTGTGATTTGATTTCTTTTAAAATCTCTTTTCTAAAATATAAAATGTTAACTTTTGTTTTTTATAATCCCTGTCATATGTTTGATCATTATTTGATTTTTTTTCTATATGTGTAAAATTTTTCTTTTAATTAGGAGAAAGAGAGGGAAAAGAGGGGGTCAAGGAAAAGAGGAGGGGCTGGTGCTGGCCTTGGAGTCAGTATCCTGGTCTTAACCAACATTCATCTGGGCAAATCACTTCTCTGCTCCTCAGTTTCCTTAATTAAGAAAAAGAGGATGACCTTGACATCACTTCTAGCTCTAAAACATTCTCTAATTCTAATTTCTAAAAGGAACTGAGGGGACTTCTCTGGTGGTGCAGTGGCTACGAGTCTGTGCTCCCAATGCAGGGGGCCCAGGTTCCATCCCCAGTCAGGGAACTAGACTGCACATGCCTCAGCTGGGAGTTTGCATGCTGCATGTGAGAGTTTGCACGCCACCAACAAAAGATCCTGATTGCCGCAACAAAGATCGAAGACCCCGTGTGCCACAACTAAGACCTGGTGCAGGCAAATAAATAAATAAAAATAAAATAAAAGCAACTGATTATTGAGTAATTGTATTTAGAGGCTTAAGAATTGAGTGTCCCATGTCCACTAATCTCCAGTTCTTCAAGAGTGAGAGTTTCTTGCTTGGCACAAGGTAACCAAATAGCTCTCTTTTAAGGAGGCCAGTGCATGGAAATTCATTTGCTGGGTGACACTGTGAAAAGCCATGCGCCCACAGGATCCTTGCATTTCTCCTGGGCCAGACTCAGGAACCTGGAACTGCCCGGAAGCCCTTACCTCTGTGTTAGGCCATCATGTTATTTGCCACACATCCTAGTGTGTTCTCTGTGGGTTCGCAGGGCATCTGCAAGGACTGTTCAGACATAGAGAGGCAGAAGAATTCCAGTCCCTTCTCTCCAAACTTCAGATTATAGTGACATTAATGAAAAGGGAACAACACAAGCAGAAGATCAGATGGTAGCTACAGCCAATGAACGCATTTTATAAGTGGTAACAAATTGCACAACTCACGCAACTGGTTTACTGACTTTTTTTCAGTTGTCTGTGTGTATTAAAAGCAGTACATGTGTCTCTTAGATTGTAGCTGCTTGATGAAAAGAAAATGGTGCTACACATTTTGAAGTTTTCTGGAGGGACATTGTCCAGGATGACATCATGTACCACCAGTGCTTCATAAACACCCATTTTGTGCTGACAAGAGTGCATGGAGGTGGCCAGGTCCCTGATTGTTTCAGCTGCCCCCTCTCCAGCCGGCCTCATTCCTCTGGTAGAGTGGCAGTTGGTTGAGGGGAGCCCACACCCCATGGGCAGCAGAGGAAGCCCCAGGGCAGCAGTCCCTGTCTCTGCAGGGGACGTCCTCCAGGCCATTGGCTGTCTTTCCTGCCGGCGCTCCTCTTTTGCTGATGTAGGCTGAGTTTCCTTACCATGCATTTAATGAATGAGAATAAGAAAGTGTGTGTTGGCAGAGTTACAACTGAATAATGCCAAGGCTTTCCAAGTCAGAGCATGAATTGAAGCAGAGCAGTCTCAAGTCTATGGGGCTCAAGAGTAATCGCTATTCTTCTAATAATGGAAAGTACAAATGTTTTATGTTCAAAGGTTAACAAATGGACTCTTTCACTGGCCTTCTGGCCTGTTCAGTTACAAAGTAGAAACTGTTCCTGATCTTTGCCTTATTGCTCTTGTATTTTCTAGGCAATTAGAAACATTTTCCACTCAGCCTTTAAGAGGTTTGAACTGCCTGGAGACCAGTTTTTTTTTTTTTTTGAAGGAAACTAAAGTTTAAAAAGAAACAAAACCCAACAGTTTTTCCTTTTTGTAAGTAGACTGAAGTTTTAAAGTACCAGGCTTTCAAAACAGCACACTTAGACTTGCCTGCATAATTGTTGCATTTGTCATGGGATTAGCACTTTCCAAAAGTATATTTCTGTACAGGTATCTAACTTTGCCCAGAAGTATGGTTCTTCATGGTCTATTATGTGCATTTAGGCAAAATGGACCTATTCCCATCCACTAGAATTTGCATCATGAAGTCAATTATCGCAAATAAAATGGAAACCATTTATCTTAATGAACCAGTAGGAAAATTAAATCTGTTGAAATGGTCTAAACCCTCCAAGAAAAAAAATTTTAGTAATTCATGGTGGACTATATCTATTTTTATGAGCTCCTCCAAGTCATCTCTTTGCTGACTGCCTACAGCAACAACAACAGTAACAAATAGTGTTTTGTTTAATTTTTTAGGTTCTTCATTAGCAGGCTCACTTCTGCCTTAATGAAAATGATATCTTTGCCCCACTTGTCTGTTTGAGAGCACTGAGGCCATCCCTGATAAGAAAGCAGCACTAGTTGGTCTTACTGGTCTGCTCTTGGGCTGCAAATAGTGTTGATTAATGGCTCCTGCTTTCACCTCCAAATGGAAGGGAGACACAGCCGTAATTGAAACTTACAATGTCAGAGGATCATTTTATTCCATTACATTTAATGAAAATGAGGTATACTAGCTAAAATGCAGGGAAATGGCCTCAGAGAAGCCCTAGACACTACATGCAGTGTGTACGTGTCACGTGTCTCTGAGTGCATGTGGGGAAGTGTTCCTGTCAGTCCACCCCTGCCCCCCAACCCCCATCTCCCCTGCACCCTGGCCTCAACCCCAAACAGAGATGCTGCCAGTGGTGGTCAGGAAATGCCATGAGCCACAGGTAATGAGCGCGATATCCGTTTTCCTTGTCAGATCTCCCAGCTGATGACAGAGCCTGGCCGGGAAGGCCTGACAGAGGCGGCGCTGAATCGCTACAATGCGGACAAGCCTTTGGCCTGCAGCAGCGTCCCTGCCCCGCAGGGCTCCTGCGTGGCCAGCGAGACCTCCTCGGGCACCTCGGTGGCCGCGTCCTTCTTCGCCAGGTAAGAGAGGTGTCCAGAGCCTCAGTTCTTTCGGGTGAGCCCACCTGAATAGCCTCTCAAGTGGACCAGCTTAGCTAAAACACCAGGAAGACTTTGGGGCTGTTGTTTGACTTTGCTCTTTAAGTCAGTTTCTTAACTTCAGCTCATTGACACCTTGGGCCAGATAATTCTTTGTAGTGAGGACTGTCCTGTGCTTGTAGAATGTTTAGCAGCATCCTTGGCCTCTACTTGCCAGATTCCCGTGGTACCTTCCCTGGTCGTGGCTGTTGTTCAGTCACTCAGTTGCGTCTGACTCTTTGTGACCCCATGGACTGCAGCATGCCTGGCTTCCCTGTCCTTCACCATCTCCTAGAGTTTGCACAAACTCATGTCCATTGGGTTGTTGTGACAGACTAAACTGTCCCCAGACGTTGCCAAACTTTGCCTGCATTGAGAACCTGTGTGGAGAATGTGTGGCTCTAAAGATGGTCTTCACAGGATGCGGACTCTTATGGGTGCAGCCCTAAGGCTGGTGTTTCCAGATATGTATTCTAATTACAGAAAATGAACTGCTTAAAATTTAACTATTAAATAGATGGCAGTTTTCTTCCTTCTTGACAGACTAGCTGCATAGTTGTCGAACTATCCAGCTAATTCCAGAAACTTAAAAAAAGAATGCTGAGAAATAAAAAAGAAAGGTATTTCAGCAATGTTTTCTGCCTAATTTTAGCAACACGGCAGAGACAGGGCAGGGGACAAAGGACAGCTGGGCAGGAAAGCACTTCAGAGACTGTCTAATTTGATCCCTTGTTTTATGAAAGAGGAAACTGAGGACCGAAGTTAAACTGTGAGGTAGTTTATAGCAAAGTCAGAAATGGAAACCAGATTCCTCTGCTTTTTTCTCTGTGACTCATTCTCTGATGCTCGGAACTGAACCATAGAAAGCTTTCTGTACCTAAGATTCGTGAGCTCCTCTTCCCTGGCAGCTTAGTAGGTAAAGAATCTGCCTGCAATGCAGGAGACCCAGGTTCAAATCCCTGGGTCAGGAAGATCCCCTGGAAAAGGGAATGGGCACTCACTCCAGTATTCTTACCTGGAGAAGTCCATGGACAGAGGAGCCTGGCAGGTTACAGTCCATGGGGTCGCCAAGAGTCGCTCATGACTGAGCGACTTTCACTTTCATGGATGTCACTAGAGTGTCAGTAAGAAGGAACATTGTTCGGCTTTTCTTGTTATCCTTAGGAATGGTAACATCCAAAGCACAAACCTGATGAAGGGACTCTGATTAGGAAGGGAGTGAGTTCGAGGAGGAACAGAGACTGACATCTGGGATTAAGACATGATAAAGCCCACACACGGAGCTTGTTGGAGGACTAGTGTTGAGGTCCCGATTATTCCTTGGTGCCATGTGTATTGTCCTAGGAACAATTGGGCCAACTTGAATGAATAGGACATAAGAGGAAACATATATGTAGTGGCCACCTGACAACAGAGTCCATCATGTTAGCTCTTTCTGTATGTGAATTTCTGTGTTGTCTTGGACCACTGTGCAAGCTTACTGGGAGGTCATATCCATGTGATTCAGGGAAAGAAGAAAGAGATGAAACAGAATATGAGGAAATGCCACAAGCACAGAAGACCCCAGGTCCTAGGTAGGCTATTAGAACATGTCCGGAGGAGGGTGACCAAGTGGTGAGGAACTAGGAAGGCATGTCCTGGCAGGTTTATTCTGGAGATGGGAGCCCTTGGCTATCTCATGGCCCATCATATAAAAGAGGGATTTGGATGGTTGTATAAAACATCCTATTAAGTGGACAGAGGCCGAATAAAACCTAAAGATAAAAGGGAGGGCTCTCTCAGCCCAGAATGAACGAGAACTAGCTCACAATTCACACTACCCCAGGAGAGAGCAAGGTCCCTGCCGCTGAGGGAGACTGAGCTTGCCTTGGGTGACTACCCAGCCTCGTTTCAGGCAAGAACATTCAGTGCCCAGACCGGATTTGATCTCCTGAAGTACTGAAATGCCTTCAGTTCACAATCTATCCAGAAATTTTTACAGATTGACTGACTTACAAAAAGAAAAACAAAACAGAAAAAGGCTTTGATGTAGGAAGAATTAAGGGGCTAGGGGCCCTGATGAACAGTATTTAGGGAGAGCAGTGTTTCCTGCTGGGAGGAAACCAACAGTGTTGTCAGAGTCAGGGAGAGGATGTCAAGATGCAATGAACCTGGAAGGCCGGAGTGCTGGACAGGCGTGTGGAGGCCAGCTTTCATGTGGATCAGAGGAGGACTGAAAGGATGGTGAATGCCTGGCAAAGATGGCCTTCCTGAGACTTTTGCTTGTACACCCAGGGGTAGAATGGAAACACCAAGATGGACCCAAATGAATGGGCTGATGATGTCGGCTGGGGCTCATCCTGCAGATGATGTTAGTGATAAACAAGAACTCTTGATTTCAGAATTGCAGGGACTTCTGATATGAGCTTTCAAAGAGCTGGAAAGAATTCAGAGGTCTGCCTAAATTCTTGTTATTGCTTTCTTTGTGATGAATTTTGATAGCACTTGAAGCTTAATGGTTTAAGGCATTAAAAGTACATGGCGTATTTTTACTGCCATGTGTAAAATAGATAGCTAGTGGGAAGCTGCTTTATAGCGCAGAGAGCTCAGCTCAGTGCTCTGTGATGACCTAGAGGGTGGGATGTGGTGAGGCAGGGAGGAGGCTCAGGAGGGAGGGGCTATATGTATATACTTACAGCCGATTCACTTTGTCGTATAGCAGAAATTAATATGACATTGTAAAGCAATTTTATATGTGTGTGTATATATGTATACTAAAAAGGGATCAGGACTAATAATGAAGATGTAACCTTGCATGCCATACTGGGTGATCAACGTTCATATAAGAAATACTTACATATAGATATAGGAAATATAATTGGTTTACTACATAAATTAGCAAAATAACCGTTTTAGAATAATTTTTACTGGAGTATAGTTGATTCACCATGTTGTGTTAGTTTCAGATATACAGCAAAGTGAATCAGCTATGTATATATATATATATATAAATCATCTTATATTGAAGAGGGAATTTAACATAAAATATCATCAACTAAAGAGACTAAATAGTTCTTTTTAAAATAGTACATGGCCTGTGTTTAAAGGGTTCACAGTATATAATGAAGGGGAAGTACCATGTGAAAAAGAATAATTCTTTAAATATATATATATATTTATATACTTTAAATATATGTTTAAAGAATGAATATATATATGTACATATTCCCGCACACCCATTACCCTGTTTGCTCTGCTGTTCTCATCAGGAATAGCTGGGCCTCGTTTCTCCAGGAAGGGAGGCAGCATGCTGACAGCCTCTCTGTCACTGATGGGGACCGAAAGCAGAAAGAAGGCTGAGTGATCTGCCCAAGGTCCACACTGTCAAGAGAGAACCAGGGATGTACCTCACATTGTTGGGTTCCCAAAGGCCCACATGAGAAGTCAAAACCAGCCGGGCTTATGTCATCAAGCAGTAAACTGAGTTCGCATCAGATGAGCTTTCTGTTTCTGCTGGAGCGAAGCTGTGTGAGGTGATGCTAGAGGTGGCTTTTAGTAAGGGTAAAATCTGGGTCTGTCACTGGTGCCAAAACTGGAAACACATTAGTGTTTATGTGGAACACAGTCAAGTTAGGCTTTATGTGGAAGAACAGGAGCATCTTTCCACATTGAGCCTGGGGCAGAGCCAGCTCCTCACATCTGTGCTCACCGCTTTTCAACTCGTTCATCTTGACTGTGTGATGGACACACCTCCCCGAGTCTGCAGGGCTCTGGACTCCGCGCAGCTCCTCGTGAGCACAGGGGGACCGGCCTTCACGGACAGTGTTGGAGTCCTTTTCTTTCACCTAGGAGTGGCGCCATTTGCCAGATGTGTGGCCAACCCTGACTGATGTTTACTGAGCGCTCAGTATGTATCACTCACTGCACTGAGCTCTTCCTGGGCAAAATCTCCCTTAATCCTCAGAGTAACTTTGTGACATAGACCCTGCCACTTCCTCTGTTTGATGAGTGGAGAAAGAGGTGTCCTGAGACAAGTCTCCAGCCCAAACTGCTCAGCTGGAAGTGGCAGGGCAGGGAGTCATCCGCATGCCTTCTTACCTGTGAGCCTTGTTGCTGTTCTCTGTGCTAATAAGTAGGCCCAGTAAATACTTTGCTGCAAGGTTTTCCCACCATCATCATGAACTGATGATCATTGCTGATAAAACCCTAGAAGCAAGTGGGCCCTGCAATCAGTTTGAGAGGGTAAGCAGAACAGCGACAAAACCTCAATTTGTTGAGGGCTGCAGATGTCCACTTTTTTTTTCCCCATGATACAAACCTTTCTTTTTAAGGTGTTTACTTTTTGGAGCTATGGGTAGACGTCCGAGTGGACCTTGTTGCATTTCAAATGTAACAGCTATAAAGTAACAATTCCAGTTCTGAATAATACTGTCAACCAGGGCTGCCCCCTCGTGTGGTCTCTCAACGGCACATACTTACTGGTCTGTGGTAGGTGTGGAAATTCAGAGGAAGAATTTAGCAGCCTCTGTAGCAAGTTGACAGGAGTTTTTTGCCTGCTGAATCTAAGAATGAAAAAGTAGGGCTTGAATGTAATTAGAAATAAAAAGAAAAAAAATGGTTCTTTCACCAGATGGTTTCAGAAATGCGGCTTCAGAAATTGCATCTGTGTGTGCTCAGTCATGTCTGAGTCTTTGCAACCCCATGGACTGTAGCCCGCCAGGCTCCTCTATCCATGGGATTTTCCAGGCAGGAATACTGGAGTGGGTTGTCATTTCCTCCTTCAGGGGATCTTCCCCTTTCAGGGATTGAACCTGCGTCTTCTGCATTGGCAGGTGGATTCTTTACCACTGAGGCACCTGGGAATCCCCTGCTTTAGAAAATATTGAAGCCCAAGTAGCTTGTCCTTCTATCTCTCCCTTGCCAGAATTTCTTCATTTCTTTAAATATGAACATTTTGGTGGACT